TAATTATTTTGTAAATATATTATTCATTTTTTGTAAATATAATTTCTGATGAAATATTATAAAATCTAAAAAATTTTAAAATACTTTTTAAAAATTTAGAATGAGAAATTTCAGAATATTTCAGAATTCATTTGTATGAAAAATTCTGAGAGAAGATGTAAACTTTCCAAATATTTCTGAGTATTTTTCTGAGTTCAGAAAAATGCTGGATAGATGGACTTTACAAAGCTATTTATAACAATTAAATAAATTGCGTGTTTTATTAAGACTATTTACAGCTATTTATGACAATTAAATAAATTGCGTTGTTTTATTAAGGATTATTATTAATTTTCATATAAAACTTTAATAAATATCAAGAGGCTTACCATTAATTTTTTTTGACTTTAATCCTTCTTTTTATGTGGATCTGACGATGCTAAATTTCACCAAGATGCGTACACCACTGGGCGTCACCTGATGCTCGCGCTGCGGCGCATGCGTGAAAAATCCCTCCGTTGGCGTCACTGCGACGCTTTTCGTGGAGTATTTTGCGGCATTTGTGGCCAACATCGGTATGAGGTGAGGTTCGCTCGCGTGTGGCATGTACAGTAATGAGCAGTAGCAGTCTTCGTGTTTCGAATAGTCTGAGCAACTTCCCACGTTGTAATCCGCATCCTTTTACACGCAATTCGTATCGCCGCGCCGTCGACATGTCGGCACTTGCCGCGGAGAATAAAACGGAGTATGAGGAAAAGGAGCAGCACACGAGGTATTCCTCGTCCTCGCGCTTCAGCGCGATGTGGCGCTAAATATAGCAGTAGTACATTTTCCTTTCATTCGAATTAAGTATTTTTGAATCCTTACAACATTAAATTTAATCGGCTCTCAATATCTTCTTTTTTTTTTTGTAGAAATAAAATGCTTGTTCTGATTTTATAAAGTCATTGGCGAACGTATATCTATAGTCTTAAACTATAGTCTTATTTATAGACTTAAACTTTCACTTTAGGATTTTATGAAAATATCAATTAATCACTTAATTTTATCATACAATTTACAGTCAGTTTCATTTTGAATAATATTTTGAATAATATAAAGCTAAAAGAACAAATTGTAATTTCTAGCGAGACAGAAACATCCTCTGCCACTTCAGCAAAGTCAGAGACAAGTAAGGATATAAATGTAGAGAGCTCTCAAAGTAGGAAACACAAGCGGTCGCCAGATCGCGAACGCCCGTCCAAAGTAGCAAAGCACGATGCTGAAGAAGATGCCTCATCTGCTGTATGTGACTTAACCATATATTATTATTTTGATTGCAAAAAGTAGTATTTATTAGATTACATATTCAAGACGTCTTAAATCTGGTCTACATAGATAGTCTTAAAAATCCAAAGTCGATCCTAAAATCTATTAATGCAGTTATTGATACTGTAAAATCTACTTAATTCATGTTGAAAAGACACGAATTTCAAGGAAACATAACTTGTATAAATGAATGAATACTATGTTTATTTTAATACTTATTTTAATACAGAAAAATATCTTCTGTTGTAAAGAAAAGTGATTATTCCATTTATTTTTTCTTTTAAATAATAGTTATTTTTAACAAAGAATAGTTTCTGATAATAATCTTAAAATATACTTTAATAAATTCTAGAAAAATTCCGTATTATGTAGAACTCAAAACATCTTGAGATTATAAGATGATCTTAAATGTAAGATTGAAGTATGAATACTATTAATTAGTGCAAATGTATTTTCTGTTGCAGAGTACAAACGTTCCCTCAGATTTAACAACATCCGGAAGTAACGAAAAAAATAAGGACACAACTGATGCAAACAGAAGTCTTGACAATACAGTTTTGGTAGCCGATCATTACAATGCGCTCGAAGAAAAGGGCCTCTCACAGAGAAATCAAAGTCGCATTGTATATATGAGGAATTTTAACAACTGGATTAAAAGCATGCTTATAAGTAAGTATTGATTTTTAGCTGCTATCTAAATGATGTCATAACTATAATAAATAATAATGAAAAAGGATCAATAAGAGCCAATATCTAATTGCATTCTTTCAGATACATAATTCTAATTCTTTTTAATTATTGATTGGTAATTAGCAATATTACAATTTAAACTGTTGAGCTCTTATTGCATTTTTAATTTTAAAAAGTATCACAATTATGTTGCCAAATTATTTTGGATTTTTTATATTTATAACTTTAGATGCCTTTGTTTAATAGAGCGGAATAGAATAGCTTAAAATTTCTTGTAACGTGTGTGAGATAGAATCGGGAATCGAATCCCAATCTTTTGTTTGATAGATAATTACTATTAAGCTATCTAATATCTCAGAATTAATCATAATTATAAATATAATTATAAAGTTTGAAAGTAAAAATAAGTATTCGATTTAATTTGGGCTGTTTTTGATGATTTGAGAAAAAATTGAATTTTGACTTAAAACTGGCTTATTATTGGTCTTGTTATTGAGATTTTATGTTAATTTATTTGAATAATCAATTGTTCTTCCAATGAATAAGTTTATCCTTATATTATTTATCAGATGAATACGTAGTCAAAGTAAGACAAGGCAAAAGTTTCGGCACTTCGCTTAAAGTTCTGGACATGTGCTGTGGTAAGGGTGGAGACCTTCTCAAGTGGAAAAAAGCAAATATTTCACATTTGATCTGCGCGGATATAGCGCAAGTGTCACTTGAACAGTGTCAACAACGGTACAATGACATGGTGAATAAGAAAGGTTCCAAGGACAGAGGTTTTGCTCCCATTTTCAGCGCGGAGTTTATAACAGCTGATTGTACAAAGGTGGAGGATACCTATTTCATTTTTAAATGCTACACAAAAATTCCATCTGCAAGAAACGCACTTGTCAATGGAATTTTGTTAATCAGGAATGTTACAGGTTCGTTTGAGGGAGAAGTTCGCGGATCCCAGCATACAGTTGGATTTCGTTAGCTGCCAGTTCGCTTTCCACTACAGCTTTGAATCTCTATCACAGGCGGAATGCATGATTCGGAACGCCAGTGAGAGTCTCAAGCCCGGTGGTTATTTCATCGGAACCATTCCAGATGCTTATGATTTAGTGTGCGTTTTCTTTTTCTTCTACTTTCATATTTCTCTCTAATAGATAGTACGCACACACGCTCATCTTCTTTTCGACAACGCAGTTCTAGGTGGCAAAATTGCGACGGTCATAAGTTCGGCAACGACGTGTACAACGTTGAATTTTTAAGTGAGGACAAAACTAAACCGCCGTTCTTCGGCGCAAAGTACAATTTTCATCTGGATGGTGTGGTCGATTGCCCGGAATTCCTGGTGCATCTACCTACTTTGTGCAAGTTGGCTCTGAAATACGGTCTCGAATTAGTGGCGTTTGAAAGGTAAGAGAAAAAGTACATTAATTTAAATCTATCGTTATTTTAGCAAATAATTAAAAAGCTTGCATATTATATTAATTTAATCCTAATCGATATTCACAAGTCTAATGGACACTTTCTTCAACTACAGTGTGAAAAATTATTTGTTACGAGTGTTTTTCATAATTAATAAATAATATTAAGTTATATAATTCTATTTCTCGGATTTTGACCTTTGAAAATGAAAAAAAATAAGCGAAAGTGAATTATGTTAACTTTAAAATAAAGATACATTAATGAAAGTACACTGGATCCACGAATATTACAAATAGATATTAATATTTGAAGACATTATTTTTCCTAGTTAAAATCTCAAAAATTTTTTTATATTCAGGTTCGAAGATTTCTATGAGCGTTTCAAAAACGAGGGTAGATCTCTTTTAGGAAATATGCAGGCACTAGAAACTTATCCGCCGTATCATGAAGCACCTCTGCTTGGTGATCCAGAGCGAGATTATCATCATGCTGTTGAATATATGCAGAATCTGCCAGCGAATCATCGTAAAATTGGCACTCTTTCGCAATCGGAATGGGAAGTTACTTGTGAGTACAAGAATTCTAATTAAAAATAAGGAAAATTTGAAAATATGAATAAAATATAAAAATTCTGAACAAATCCAATTTATTAAATGAATCTTTACAGCATTGTATGCAGTATTTTCGTTTCGAAAAATGAAAACGATTTGGAATAGCGAAGGAAAGCCGGAGTATATCAAGTTATAAAGTTTCGTAAGATAAAGAAAAACATGAAAACTGAAGCAAGGAACGATTTACTGATGTTGCTGATTTTATATTGTACAAACAATTTTATTTGTTACTGTAATGTAACTTATGGTAGGACGATATCAACCGTGTGATATCAGTAGAACTGTAGCTGCGTTTATAGAGCTGACAATCATGTAAAAAGTGCTAAAAAAGCTTAACCCTTCAATGCTACTCTTGATATGGTGTATCAGACTTTTTTTTTCAAAAAATGCTCTTTTGAAACATCTATTTACTTTATTACTTATAACTTTTTTACTAATCAAGATATATCTGTTTGATTTCTTAATGCTTAACATTTCGATTAAAAAAATTTATTACATGTTTATAATTTTATAAAAGTTATAAGCAATCAAAGTTGGATTGAATGTTGCACCAATGACAACGTCACAGGTATAAAACGTATATATATATATATA